AACTGATACGATATTTTACTAATGGCATCTTCAGACTCCAGTAGATAAAGATAGGTCTCGTAAAAGAAAAGGACAAAAGCTTCGTCACTCTTCTCATCCAGTTCATGTCTAACAGATAAAGGAGGAGAGAGACGATGGAAAATAGCACCCGTGGAGTCACACCATGCCTTAGAATGTAACACGCTGTCAGTGGGATTCACTATGTTAGCCATTAGCATTCTTAACAGACTCTTTACAAACTTTATGTCACTGGCATTGAGCTCCACATCTATAGATCTTTATAGTCCACAATTAGAGAGTGATGGCGCAAGAAATGAGCTACTAAAATTCAAATGAATTATAGCTTTAAAAATTGGCACACATCATGCTACACCAAAAATCTTTAAAAAAAGACAATGTACACACATGAAGTTAATCACACCAAAAGGTAGCAAATTATTGCAAACTAAAAATTCTAAATGTAGTTTTACTAATAGTTCAAACTTCACAAATACTTTATTCTAATGTTATTAGCAACCTCCCTCTCTCCCATTGCATCTAGTGCTGCTACTAATGATATCCAGTTTGATCCACCTCCTCTTGTCTCTCTTACTCCATCCTCTCCCTTTAGCCAGCAAGATATACATTCCATTAGACACTCCCATACTTTTCCTCTGCAGTTGACTTCAATACCTCTCAGTGTAGGTTGGTATAATCCTAAGTACAGACCCAACTGTTTCCAGTTAGTAAAATAATCAAACTGTTGATTTAATGTTAATTCTTGAAGGACTGTAGCAAGATCTCTAATATCTGCATGTGTGTATAATAATAATAATAATAACACTATATACTCTCTTAGTCTTACCAAGCAGTTTATCAGTCTGTGTTTCTTGTGCTTCATCATTGACATTAAGTACATCAATATCTATACATTATATTAAATACCAATAATACTTAGATCTAATTGGTATACACATGTTTGTATAGTTCAGTGTACAATAATGTTTGTTAATGCATGATGTGTATATCTTACCAGACTGTCCTTTCTCTATTGAAGTATTTCCATATTCCCGAGATTCTTTCAAAGTGTTGGTTGTAAATCCTTTATCTTCATAAAGATAAATAATAATTAATATCGTATATATTATATAGGCGGTAGCCTATATGTAGGATTGAGGTTGATTTTTCAAGATGGCGGCCGTTTTTATGATTTTCAAACACTCACAACTCTTTTATCTTACGTTGTACAGCCTTATAAATGGCTTATATGAGCTCTCCTTCACTGAGCGATTCTCTTGGTACCTTTAGAGTGGACTGTAATGCAGCCGGAGCATTTCTGGAGAATAGGCCCAAATTCAAATTTCTGCAAAATTCTTCAGACTTTTTCTTCTTCTTCTTCTTCTTCTTTCATCTTTCTTCTATCAACACGGAAATCTTTTAAACCAGAGAGCCGTTCAAGTTGGCTTTTACATCATTCCTTTGAGCTTGAGTCAAGGACTGGACATGTGGCTTCAAAAAGAAGCAAGGACAGAGAACAATGGAAGACAAATTCCAGCTGCAGCACCGCGTGGGTTTGTGGTTTGACGCCATTTTAATTTATGCGCACGTGATTAGCATGAATATGATTAACCTAACCACATAATCATAACAGAAAGTAATTTTATAATTTAAGAAAAAAGAATGGAAACAAGTAAATAAAAAACATTAAAAATGGAAAAGTAGTAGGATTAAATTGTAAAAAAGTAAAGAAACAAGAGGGTACTTGCAAAGTGGTGTGATAACAAATCCTACACCATTGCATGAAAGACATGGCTTCATAGTTTATCATGTAGTA